TATCCATTACTCCATTATTTTGGTGTAAATAAAACTTGGTTTCAGTTGCATCTTTGAAATGCTGTTCCAATCGTCCATGTAATCGCGATTCTTCAATATTTTATCCAACTTGATGGAAATCACGATTTTTCAATTTGTCATTTATCTATGGTAACTCCTTCATTATTGAAGAACATTACTCCGCAATTTTGTTCACTGCAGCTGTAGCTTTTCTGTTTCCTTTTGTGGCAAATTCCATTTTTAAATTTAAGAAATTTGAGCGAAAAAAATGTTTAAATGCGAAGACTTGATTTTGAATACTCAATTCGTAATGAAATGAACTTTTTGCTAGAGTTTAAATACTGCCTTTCAGACCGAATATTTTGCAAGTGGTTGGGTGTATAAGGGTTGTTTTTAGGTAAAGTAGTTATTTATATAATTGTTTTCCCTTTTTGGTACTTGCAATACATTTTGTTTATTACATTTAGGGTTTGAAGTTATCGAGTTGAGACTTTACATGTTTTACACTTATCGTGTTGGTACAATTACAATTCTTGGTAATGTTACCTAAATTTCATTTTCATAAAATGTTGATTTTAAATTGATGTACGGTTATTTTTTTTTTCGTCTATTAATTTTTCTAAGAAAATTTTAAATTCCTATAATTTAAGTTATGTGCACACAGCACATAACTTTAAAATTAATTTGTTATTAACAACAAAGAAACTAATTATTTCTTAATTTCTTTGTAATTAAAAATATAACGTTTTTAGTAATTATTCAATAATTTTAAAATTATAAATTCGAATATTTGATTTTTAAAGTAATAAAAGGTTTTACAACTAATAATTATTAGTTCTAATTTAATACAGGCGAATATTATACTTTGCCTTTTAAAACCACTCAATAAGTTCATAGGATGACTAATAAAACAACAACTTTTTGGCAATATTCGGCTTTATTCATCAACATGGTCTCCTTCAAGAGTGATACATTCATTCCAACGCTTCTCTAAAATTTCGATACGTTTCTTGTCTTTGGCCTTAAAATACGGCTTTCACTTTTTGCTGTCCACTCAGCTGATGACCGATATGATTATGGAGTGTAGTGGTGGATCCAGGTTTCATCCACTGTTACATACCGCATGAAAAAACGTTTTATTTCGCGTCAACAGCTCCAAACAGTGCTTCCACTGTGAGCAAACGCGGTACCCACTTCGGACAGAACTTTCTCATGGTCAAATGTTCATGCAAAATTGTGAATACACTGTCTTCTAAAATCTTCAGGGTGTTATAAATCCATGTTATGGACTTTTTTATGTTTTCTGTAACAATTGCTGAATTTGGGAGACCAAAACATCATTTGTGTCTGTACGACCGCATTTAAAATCAGTAAACCAATTCTCTACCATTTGTCTCGACGGAGAAGAGTCCCCATAACACTTAACATGCTTTGCTTTGCTCATGCCATCATGCAATGTTTTGACAACACACGAAATTGATATTTTTCCATTGTTTTGAAAATTACAAAAGTAGCGTCACTAAAACCACTGTAACTTGTGAACTAAACGTCAGATTGCTATGAAATTTTGACAGGCGTCGTCTGAATGATATATATGTCATCCTACAAACTTATTGAATGAGGTATTATGTATCATCAGCTTTATTATTTTTAATTAATTTACCATTAACCGTACATTTTTCAAATCACGATGATGAAATTTAAATGCTTTTCTGATCACATATACAATATTGAAGATGTACCTGTTACATAACTATCGTATAATTCTGAGTTATGAGTACATAATGAATTTAACTGTATGTATAGAGGGAAACTTCATAATACATGCGTATGCAGTGAATTTTCAAAATAATCGATCCAATTACTATGTATTTATATACATAACTATTATTTTTTTATTAAAAATTAGTATCAATTAAAAATATCGCTTATATCAACAATTCATTAAGTTACTTTTAAATTATTATAATAATAATAATAATTTATTGGTCAGACAGAAAATACAAAAAAATACATTCTGTAAATAAATAAATGGTAAAAATAACAACTAAATAATAAACATAACTCTCAAAATAAGTAAATAAATTCTAACATAAATTAACAAAATAAATATATATATTATCATGCTGGCCAAAGGGCTATCGACCGAGGTCTTTCCGTCCTTTTAAATTATATTAAATTCATATAAATAGTAATGTAAAATACATAATTATATTCATTTTTATAAAAAAAATCTACATACAGGTTAAATCTGCTTATTTTAGTACAGCGATTCATGAATGTCGGCAGATTTTTTTTCCTCATGTGCGATCAATACTGAATGCTTGGTGGCTAGTTTTATATGTATAATCTTGATTTATTCGACACTATGATTCTATGGTAGCGCCAGGTTTTAAAAGATAATAGTGCACTATTTCCTTTGCGAACATTGTGGTGGTTGCCACAATGTTGGTGCTTCATCAGCATCCATTGTCCAGATAATTTATGTTTATCGCCCGTGATCTATTTATCGTCCAACGTAATGATTTGTTTACCTGTCCAGTATATATCATAAAGAATTGATACGAATATTTTGTGTTTAATCAGGCAGTTTTCCAACAAGGCTTGTTAAAACGCAAAAACTGATATGAGTAATATCACCTTTAGTTTCTTCAATGAAATTATCAAAAATTAAAAATAACTTCCCATTGAGTAGATATTATTAAAGTAATATATTATTATATAAATAATTTATTGGTCAGACTGAATATAAAAGATATTTGACATAAAATTTATCAAAAAACTGTAATAATATTTAAAAATTTAATAAGTTGAAATTAATGTAGTATTCTGATATATTTAAATTATTTACAGAAAATTAATCTAATAAATCGTATAGAGGAAAATGAAAATTTACAATAAAAGTATAGTATTTCATAATATTGGAAAGAGAGAAAATCTCATGATTCCGTGTATATTCATGACTAAATCTGATTCAAAAGCAATCATTTTATGATTAAATCCGTTGGAATTCTCATAGTTTCACTTCCATCAAATTGTCGAACAAGGTATAACCTCGACCCAAACATTATAAACTCTGATTTCCAATATGCCTAGGGCTAATAATGGATATTGCGGTTAATGCAATTTCCAGTGTTTATTAATTTGTAGATCAGGTACTAAAATTATGTTACCAAATGCCATAAGTTACTATTAATTATGTTCTAGCAAATTATGTCAATCTAACAAAGGTTTGTTTAGTGGTGTAAATAGTAACACAATTATGTATTATTCTACTTTAGAAAAGTTCCAATATTCTTTTTAAGAAGTAAGGAAGAAATTAGAATAAAATCATTGCACTATAAAAAGGTTTATTTATTTGACGTTTATGCACTTGACGTTTTATAACATCTTCAAAGAGATGTTTTCGGTCTATTAGCTAAATATTAAGTCACTCAAACATAAGTCCAAGTTTTAAATTATATTACATCTCTGAATTTTTTGAAAATGTAAATAACAATAATACTTTTAATAAACTGAATACCGGTTGATTATAGATTATTGATTATAATTGTAAGATAATAAAACAATTGATTTAATATCAATATGTGTGTTATAACTTACAAAATATTGCTATTTTTATTTTGTTAAATGTTTTCGGTCATCTCGTAGGCTAAATAAATGTTTGTGCTGGTGTGCTCTTGATTGTTCAAGAGATTTCGCAAATCTGCTTTGATCTCTTGCGAATTAAGATGACCTCTACCCTTAAAACACGCAACAGCTGCAGTCTCCATGTTACATCAAAGACAAAAGCGGCGCATAACATTGTTTTTCATTTCGCCGTTGTTGTTGATTGCTTATTATGCTTGTGCTTTATAATTCGGGTGTCCTCGATAAATCATAGTGCTTGTTGAAAGCCGAGTATTCCGTAAAACCGCGTCGCGTAATTTATTTTTAATTAATCAAGCGGGCGAAGTGGCAAGGGAGGGAAAAAAAGAGGAGTACTGTTTGATAATTAATCTTGCCGTTAAATTGCCGGAGATAAAACGAAAGCGTCACATTCTGCGCAAACAGGCAACAAAAACGTGTGAGTATATAAAGAAACAAGTGAAAAAAAGGCCTCAATGAGCAGCAGCATCTTCGTATTGCATGCGCTTGGGGTTAGGTGCAAACATTATAGTGTTTACTGTACCACCAGGGGGCCGCACACTAGCGCCTCAATGCGTCGCAGGATATTTTATTCCTAACGACTTTTTTTTTCATTAGGTCTTCTTATGTGTTTACAATTTCGCTAAACAAAATAGCAAAACAAACAACGTAATTTTGTCGAGCACTAAAAAAGTTTGTTACATAAATCAAACTCGCGTTTTCTTCCCATTCGAGAGCGCGTTTCTTTTCTCGATTTTCTTCTGCTCATTTTTTTTTCTTCGTCTTCGTGCTTCCTGTGATTTAATTCTCGCGGATGACGGTGACAGGATCGGAGCAATGAGAAACGGCCCATAACTCGCCGAGCTAATCATAACCTCATAAAACTATACGAAGATTTTTTCTCTCTCCCCATTCCTTTCTTTTTTTGGGACTCCGCTCGTGGCTGATTTACGAGACGCGGCCGAAACTTTTGCGCGAACACTTTCAATTTTAAATCTTAACCGGAATTTCCTCCGTGATGTTTATTAGGGGCGATCGGGAGCAAAGGAAACCGGAAAAGGAAAGTGCAAACATAAAATGAGAGGCAAAACGTAACATGCATTTATGTGTGTGTGTGTTTGTGTGTGCAATTTTAAATTCAATTCCGGCGGATTTCCTGCCCTGACCATTATTACTTCTGGCAGTTTACCGAACTGTTTGCCTGTATATGTAACTATGTATATATACTCGCATGCACACATAAAAATATATATAACGAACGTGCGCTATCCAATTTACTTACGAGACATGCCCGGATAAAAAGTTTTTTCTTTCTTGTGCCAATATAATCTGATTTCGTTACTCACCGTTCTCCCCCTTTCCGATTGTTGCAGAGGAAGCTTTAATCCTGAAGAATCTCTCCGTGCCTTTGGTCGCTGATCCCAGAGAAGACATGAACCTGGACTGCATCTTCGATATGGGCAACGAAGTCATGTACGCTGTCAAATGGTACAAAGATGATCATGAATTCTTCAGGTAACCGAAAATTAAGAAATTTGAGTAAAACAGTTTAATGATTTGTATGTCTTAAATTAGGTTAATGTTATATTAAATCTAAGATTATCTTTGATTAAATTTATATCATATAATAGTAAAATTCATATATTAGTATTATATAGTATTATTTTTGTTTTAAACATATTTATTGGTCATTATGATCAAAGGCTTATCCGAGGTCTTTCCACCCTCAATATTAAATTATCTTTAATACATAAATAATTATTTAACTTTTCAATGTCCAAAATGATGTATGCTTGAAGTATTGAAATAAAATAGTTAAAAACCTCTGTTTTGAAAAGATCTAATGAAACAAAAAATCAACATTTTATGATGCTTAAAATGTAAACCAGAGCTGTTTGTTGGTAATAAAAGCTTCTTGTATCTGAAGTGGGTACGATGGAGATAGCTATCGCGGAAATATTAATGCTAATAGAAATAAAAAGAAGTCACTGCAAAGCGGATTTATGCGCTCTTCGGGCACTTCAGTGTATAGTTCGAAGATTTTTCATCGGGATGCGATTTGGAAGTAATAAATTTTGAAAGACTTTTCTCCGTTTTACTAATGCGCACACAAATCCCTCGCAAACACTCACACACACATACCGCGAAAGAGATATTGAGAGATGCTGAGATAAAATTATTGTATAATTCTAGTGGAGGAGTTATTTGCCAAGCCATTACAATATTTCACTTAGCAGTGGAGTTCGTTCGCGCGCTAACAGTTTATTTATGTTAATGTGTGTTTGATAAGATTTTATTGAGTCTGCCTCTCCACCCTAGCCTCTCCTCTCTTCCTCTTCAACCGACCGAGTATTCGTCCCTCGGGTTGATGGCGGGGGTCGACTATGCTTCGGATAGAGGAAGGCTCCCATCCGGGCGCCAACTTTTAATTTGCTCTCCGTCCCTGATCTATGATCCATTTACAATGGAAATTTCTAGTTTCAATTGCTCCCCGAAAACTAATAATAAATAATTGACTCGGGAACATCTGAAAATATGCAGATTACAAGTGAAGAGTATCCAACAGTGGAATCCTTTCATATGCTTACAAACACTCCGTATATTAATCGTCAGATAATCTGATACAAAGTTCGTTTCTCTATTCAGCGACACTTCATTCCTTTTAAAGCGATCGATAAATAGTGTTTCATTTTCTTTACGTATCCCCAGTCTTAGGATCATGCTTTTAAAGATATGTCAATAAACTTAATGCTTATAAACTGGGCGTTTCTGGAGTACTTGTACGCCATCACAAATTTGCCACACCTCTATTCAATTGAAGCGAGTTATGATCCTTCTCACACTAGATATGAAATTAAAGTAGAAAAAGATTATATAAATCACTACAATATTCAGTTGTGTAACATATTAACCGAACTATTACCATGCGGAGCATCGGTTATTTTAAAATGTTTGAATATTCAATAAATAAATATTCTAAGTTTCAAAAATTACAGCAAATTTATAATTTAAAAACGCTCGAATTAATTACTTTTTCAATATACTAAATAGTTTTAGGTATTGAGTTTTAATAAAATAATTTGAATATTTTTTTTTAAGAATTAATTAGTTTGAATAATTACTTGAATTGGATTCTTATGATTTAAAATGAGCAATCAACTTGTGCCACCCCTAATCTATTTATAAATATAAGATTTAATAAAAATATTATTGCAAGATTCGTCTACATTTTCAAAAATGTCTTGAAAATAGAACAAACTTTGTCATATTAGCTATATGATTAACAAAATTAATTGTTAAGGAAACAAAGTTACAAACATAAAGTTTAGCAGGTTTAGTGTTAACATAGCGCATAAAATAAATGTATGATATTACAAGCATTTACCAATTTATCATGAAAAAAAATATATCTTTATTTCTGTGATTCAGAACATTTTACAAGTAAATAATAAATATATTAATTCTTAAAAATATTTGCAGTGGAACGTCGCTTAACGAGTTTAATCCGTTCCAAAATTTCCGAATTTTTACTTATATAGTTACTCGTATAGTGAAACACGTTTTCCCATATAACCTAATGTAAATTACGATAATGCGTTCCTTACCGGAAAAAAAAGTATAACTTATTCTCGATTTTTAATGATTTTGCTTTTCATGTCTATGGCTATTGTAATTCAGTGAATTGAAAACGGAAAGGAATATTAAATAGTAGATTATTGTAATGATTGGTAATTCGACTCTTCTGAGAATTATTTTGGATTTAATATATAGCATTTCATTAGGGGGATTACAAAGAGGGCCTTCCGTTTTAATGCAGAGAGGCTTTTCAGAATTGGATTTCGATGTAGAGAGGACGAGGAAGCCATTTAAAGATTATACTGCAAAGAAGGATATTTTAACATAGAGATGGTTCAGTATATCAATATACGGAACTGGCGGGATATAGATTTGATTTTAGATTCTAAATATTTCAGAATAGGAATAAAATTAAATTCAGGAATGAAAAAAAAAATAGAAAAAATTTATTGTATTATTTGTGAAACAAAGTAAAAATTTTGAGTAGTTCACTTTACATATAGATTATATCAATAATTTTCTCTACATAAATGTTAAATCTCATATTTGTTATAAACATAAATATTATATAAATATAATTGATTCCAATGGAAAAGCGAAGAAAACTGGTACTTTCTTTTTCTCAACTTACGATAATAAAAATATTTCAATTTGTAGAAACTACATTAATATTTTTTTTGTCTTTCTCGATTAACCTGGATTTGATTTTAGTTACAACATTATTCTTAATATTTCACAATTATTATTATTTAAAAATGTTCTAAAATATAATATTTTTCATTTTATTTACAATAAATATCATTATCCAAGATTTCTGTTGGCAATTGAATGACATATGTGATATAGTTGTCTTCACGATTATATAAATCTAATATAAAGGTGTTAAATTGGATACTCATATCAATTAAAAATTCTAAGGCAATCATATAAAACGTAATATAAAATAATCGTAAATATAAACTGTAGAACATGTTTACCATAATAATGAATTTATTATATTAATTACCAATAGAGTCTTTGAAAGTAATTGATTTTTATATGTATGTTATTAAGAATTGCACATTTTTATTATAAGAAAAGTTTTTCAAAATAAAAATAATTGATGGTTATATAATTCGTTCGAAGTAATAAGTGCATTATCAACATTCTAATTACCTTATGGTCGATTTGTCGGCAGGAACTTAATGCATTTATAATTGGACCGGTTTGCAACTTGCACTGATTTAATGTTCATTAACTGATTAATAATTCAACTTGTTAGCTTATGAAAATCCACTGCATCTAATTTAATAATACACCATTTAATCGTATATTTTCTGGATTATTGAGAATTGATTATTTGTTAATACATTTATTGCTAGTGTATATGATATATTGAGAATGGTGCCGTAACAAAAGCTCGACAAAAGCGCACAGACCAAAGCGAGCAAATCAATCATTAAGTGTAAAATTTTTAGGCAAAAATGTTGCTTTTCACAAAGTTTTGAATATTTTTTATTATTATGCTAAGTTTATTGTTTAATACACTCACAAAGATTCTAACTCTTAATAAAATTTGACCTCAATGACCAACAAGACATTAACTGTCAACACATTTAGTAATGCTGCCAACTTTTCATAATTTCCACATTTTATTATTAATAGCAGTGAACGTACTAGAATTTTTTTACTGAAATATGACCAATGCTTTAGTCACTTTTTTGCTGATAATGACCAGTTCTATGAGCGCTGATTTATTTTACCTCAGTGTACGTCTATGAATGTCTCAAGTGAAATTTTATTTCGGTTATTGAAATATCAAGCACATCTGGAAATGCATCGACTTATGGTGTCATCAAATTGTTTGGGTTTTAGGTTCATGCCTCACCAGCAACCCCACACAATGACATTCCCTGTGGCCGGGGTGCATTTGGTGCCTGGGTCGACGGATTGCGGCGAGGACAGTTGCAAGGTTCGTCTGACCCGTCTCACCAGAGACCACAGCACCGGCTCCTACAGATGCGAGATCTCCACCGAAGCTCCATCCTTCCGGCTGGCCTCCATCACACACAGCGTCACCGTAGCCGGTAAGCTTTCTTTTTATAGTTGATCTAAAAATCCTGTAATCATCGTAATTTGCTTCGCATTCCGATTCTTGTAATGTAATTTGTTATGGTCCTGGATAACGAATCGACATTAACATTTTGAGGCATTATGCAGATTTTAATCGCCCACCCCTTCTCGTTATCGGCCATCATCGTGATCACCATTATCCACATACGCCCCCAAAGACACCCGAGCATATACACGCATCGCTTTATTTTTATTATGTAATTCCACTTTTAATTACGATTTTATGGTGCCGGCTTTAATTTGCTCGGTTCGCATTGAAACCCAGAGCGCCGTGAAATTCCCTCTCAAAAATTAACTAACTTTTTTTGTTCTTTGTCTTTTTCTATTTACTTTTTTTTGTGAAAATACATGGTTTAGTAGCAATAGTCAAATAAATATAAACGTGGGAATTTTAACACAGACTATTTTATAAATATTTATAAGTTGTTCAGAGTTTTTACGATTGAAAAATTTAAAATAATTGTAATGAAATTTAATAATAATATTTGTTGAAATTTAACGTATTTATATAATCATAAACAAATATTTATTTTTAATTTATTATCTCAATTGTTATATACGAAAGAAAATATTATTTTTTATTTGAAAGCAAATTACTAATAGAAAATTATTAAATTAATTGTTTTAACTAATCTTTATTAACATTTTTAGTCCACAATATTTTTTTTTTATTTTTACGAATTTAAGAGACAATTGAAATGAAATTCATATTTATATTCATACTAAATTAAATAAATTATAATTTATATTCAAACTAAATTTTATTGTTACAACGAAACAAGTAGATTTGAAATGGATGATAAAGTAGATTGTACAAAAAATAAATATATTAATTTGCAAAAAAAAAATTGTTCCAGAAACTTTTCATTCCAATAATAATAATAACATTTATTGTAACAATAGAAACACAACAATAAAAATAAAATAAAAATTTAACTGCTGTAAATGTCTTTTTATTCTATTATCTCTAATATACGTTTCGTATATGTTTTCAATAAATTTGAGAATTATATTTTATCTGTAAAAGTAATGACATTTTGCTAATTGGATTTATTATTCAGATTATTTACAGCAAAATCGAAAACAACATAGTTTGTTTTACTTCATTAACGGAAATTATTAAACATAAATTCAAAGCAGGCAACAACTGGTTCGATAAAATATTACAATGAATTATTTAAAGGATTTAAATATTAAATGAACAGACGTAACTCAAATAGACTCTAAATATATATTGGATTAAAATAATGATATAAAATAAATAAAGTGTATAACAATGTATTGTATATGTAATATAATTTAATTGAAATTTACCAGGTAGATTTCATTACTAATTTCTAAATTTATAATTTTCATATTTTAGTGCCAACTAAAATGATAATTGTCGTACATTAAGGCGTATTTCATTGATGCCAGAGAGAGCAAGAAAGTTGTTGGTTTTTCCAACAGTGTGAACGGACTTATCGTGATGAAAAATGTAGCGAAACTTCCTTCTTTCTGGTTTCCCAACATTTTTTTGAAAACTTGTGATAAGTTGCAAGTTTTTATGTGCTCTCTTAGTTTGATCAGCAGCAAATTAAATCGACATCTTCACTTTTGCTGTCTTGCTTTACTTGAGGATTTGTACCTTCTGCGCTCCATACTTGAGTTGACGTCGAAATCTGAAAATAATGGCAAAACGAATTTCTTGCTTTGTTGGTGGAATTTCTACCGATCTTACATCACTAATATTGCTTTTTATCGAATCGATTCTTATCGATCTTATTGAAATATCGTTAGACAATAACAAATTGACAAACAACTTTCGTTTTTCAGAAACAAATGAATTAACGCTTACTTAGCGAACATTTAGACCCCCTTGTATAAATTTGTTAAAGATTCAATGTACCAAATGCATATAATATTACAAATTTTAGATATTATGTGAATAGGCTGGTGAAGTTCACTTTACGTATTTAATTTCACCTGCATAATTAGAGTTGAGTTAGCCATTTTATGTACACAATTTTTGTTTGTAGTTTTTTCATTTAATTTTACCATTATAATATTATATGAAAGAAAACACAAGTAGAAGATTAAATTAAATGACTCGGTTTGTCCAGTTAATTCAAACACATATAACATTACCTCGCATAGTGCGAGTAAATATTATGGACTGTTTAAAACCGGACTAATCGAGGAGTTTAAAACCGCATAAAAAGAAACTGTACTCAAAGAGATTTAACGGTATAAAGACGATAAATTGTGTTTTTACTTAAATAATTTTGTGTACTATTTATTTAGTATTTATTTTTTCAATTAAAATTTAGTTTATTTTGAAATTTTCAAATCGCACTATAATGAATGTATTTATTTTTTAAACAATTTAAAATATTTATTTAGATTTCGATAGTAAATCCTTAGAAAAAGGAATTTCACATTTTACGCACATACTACTTGGTAATTGCCAATTAAAACAAAAGTTACAATGGAAGAAATAATGTCTAACAATCAATGTTTTATAGAATTTTAGTTAAAAAAATATTTGTAATGCTAACTTCATAAGAGATTTTGTTTGAAATTTGCTATCGTTCACGAATCTGTCAAGTGTAAAGACTTATTACTCTTGCAAATTGTATACGTTCTACTAGAATGTCATAATACTATATCCCAACTTAGCAAAGTGTTATGGCAACCCTTCCAAGTACAAATGATTAACTTTCGTAAGCTGTGATATATATCGTGTATTCTGTTCCATTACTTTAATTTAGATATCAAATAAAATTAAAGTGTAAACACGGCACGTTAATTCTTCAGTACATTAAGATGTAATGAATTAAATGATTGATCATGTATCTTTGCAATACGTACAGTTCTCTTTCTTTGTTGAAACCCCTCGCTAGAGAAAATCGATTGTCGAAAATGCAGCATTCACTTCTACTAAATTCAGGCATGCGAGAAATCCATTTAATCAAGATTTTATATTGAATACATACATTACTTTCTAATAATCATGCTAAACTCAAATATGTATATACTAAATAAATATACAAATATGCGACTTTCGTATTTTCATATTTTAATTAATATTTTAAGTGGATAGGAAATTATGTTTATAGTTAAATACAGTGGAACCTCGCTTAACGAGTTTAATCCGTTCCAAAATACACATAATATGTGTACACAAGTTTTAAAAATTATGTAGCAGGCGCGCAATCCGGGACTTTTTTTCTCATTGTCACTCGTTATGCAAAACGTCGTTAAACGAGTAATTTTACTTACAATTCATTTTGCTCGTTAATCGAAATGCTCGTTATGCGAGGTGCTCGTTAAGCAAGGTTTCACTGTAATATATTAAACCTACACTTTATAAGAAGGAAAATACAACATCCTTCACGGATATTCCCAAATAAACTCGAATATCTTCAAATTTTAAATTAAATATTTGCAAAAATAATTATATCGAACGTCATTTCAACAATTCTATAAATGTTAATTATTTGTAAAAGTATTGACATTCCATTAATTAAACGAATTATTACGATTATATGGAATAACAATCAAAAATAATTTAATTTGATTTGCCACATACGAGGTAACATTTAAATATAAATTACGAATAAAAACAGACAAGAGATATGTGTTAATTTAGCAAACGACCATAGCACAAATATTCAATTAAATTTAATATTGTTTAATTCACGAAAATTATAAAACGTTATATCCATAAATAATCCTTCAAATTCAAATTGTACAATGAAAATAATTGAATATGTCCAAATTTGAGTTACGTCTATGGCCAAGCGGTAGCTGCTGTGTATTAATGTTTTTTTATTGCGTTTTCTTTCATTGTGCGAAGCTCCGTTCTTTGCATTTTGATTGATTGTTGAATAACGGGATCGGAATATAGAGAGGCTCTGCTTGTAAGTTTTCCTTTGTTTTCCCGCCGTGTTGTTGTGTGATAAAGATAAGCAATAAATCCTGAAGGATCGCTACTGCGATTACTTCGCCGCAAAAGAGAAAACGCGGATCAAGAACGCAGCAGGAGGAATAATAAAAAATAAGCACGGTGCAAGTAAGATTTGGAAACGTTCCTCCTTGTTAAACATAACAACCCCATGGGAACCAAAGCCGTATACACACACATACATTCACTCATATGTGCACGTTCGAAAATACCTACATATACACACGTGTGCACGTACCAACGAAGGTGGTGTGGAGTGGAAGTACTTATCGTCTCGTTGCAGTTACCGCCTTCCGCACAATACATTCGCCTTTTTCTCCCTCGTCGCAAATATTTGCATGCATATAACCCCCTAAGATCTGCGCCGCGGGGTGAGATTCGCGCACGCCAGCCCTTCTCAAAAACCATCTTCGCACCTTCGCTATACCGAAAATCATATTCAATATTCATAAAATTTTAAAACCTCCCTTCCGATAATATTATTACAATATAAAAATGCTCGGCAGTTCGCAGCTACCGCGCATAACAATTGCATATTCTTGTGTTTCTCATATTGCCGCGACGGTATTGATTAATTGCTTGCATCCGGGGATTTGCAGAGCGAAATCCTTAACGTTCTCGCCGGTCACGTTGCCCATGTGTTTTCTTGGGTAAACGTTCGGCAAACACAAAGAAATTCGGTTCATTCGCAGCCAGGATAGATCTTGCAAGTTTGTTCAACAATTGGTCATCGTTTAAAAAAAATAACATGTTGCTTCATTTTTTTTAATGTTGAACTTCTAAACGTAACCTTTCATACAATTATAGTAGAAATACTAACGTTATAATACAAAATATTTACACTGAAAAATAATCCATAATTCCTGTATTTAATTAAAAGATTTCAAACTTACTTGTATTTTGAATTTACAACTTATTGAATATATAAATTGAAATATCGAAAGATTGCGGCAAGTTTTATTTGAAGCCCCACATGAATAGTTATAAAAAATAAAGAAAAATGTTCGCTTAACATAAATAATCAAGATATTTACTTAAAACATTAATCTATTTTAAAACGCTATATGAAAATGTCTTGACTTGATAGCTCGTAAACCCTGAGGCCTGTAGACACGTGACTTATTGCTTTAATGGCTAATCCACCACTGTTTATATATAAAATAAGTAAATACTAACGGCCGCGAACAAGGTTAATTCAAACTGTAGTAAAATCAGACCGGCGTTTTAATATACTATTCATACTAAATAAATATATGTTATGTTTATTGAATGCAAATGTGTGCACATAAATTATTAATGTAATAACCATATTACATATTTAAGACAAAATTTTAACGTAAAGAGCTTGACTTTTTTCCTGCTGATAATATAAATTGATATTTTGAAAATACACATACCACTGAAGAAATTAAAGTTTTTAAAACGTTTTGGACTAAATCTATCAAGATCAATTTATAGGTAAATAAAACATTTCTTAAAGAATATATTTATTTCTAAATCTTTATAAAAATGTTCAAAAATTGTAAACATCTATCATTTATTTTACATTTATTCTACGTTTATTTGTTGCTATTTTGTTCAAATATATTAATGTTGCAAGAAAATTATTCTCAGTTTTATAAATTTATTAATCCACGATGCATGCAAGAACGTCGCACAACTGCAATTTTCTATGTCTTTGATGGTCCCCTTTTTTCGAGCGGAAACAGTAATTAGTGTAATTAAAACCGCTAAGCTTTTATATCCGACAACCCTCTTTTTTCGGCATTTAATTAAATCTCCGCTCAGTAATAACACTCTTGTTTCCATCAAATACGAAAGCATAGAATTTGCAACGATTTCTTTAAAAAAAACTACATGATTTTGATTTTATATATTTTTTTTGTATTTATTTCATGCTATTTTTCATTTTCTGTCGTAGAAATTTTAGTAAATAAGGTGGGAAATTGTGTTGGCGATCAATCACGAACGCCGCTCGGATAAATATTCAACGGGCGTTACCGGAAAATGTTTGGCATGTGAAGAAGATACTTGTGAAGGGTGTGTTTGTATGGGAACTAAATCAAGTTCGCGTGTCATTTTCCCATCCCCTGCAGTCTGCGATAGTCATTTGCTGGAAATATGAATATTTATCAGCGGCGTGGCGATTTGTTTTTTTGGTGGAAAATCTGACGTCGCGGTATGCGCGTCACGTACAACAGAGATAACGATGTCACACGCTTCTTCCACCTACTATCCCACCCGAAAACCTGGCCACGGATACGGATGTACATCACATGGAAATCTGGTCCAGGTATTTTGCGACACTAAATGTTTGAAAGGATTTCTGGTTTCTGTTCACAGCGATGCCTCGTGACCAGCCACGAATCGAAGGAGCAGGCAACAGCTACTACGTTGGTGATATTCTTGTTGCTGACTGCACCTCCGCCCCCGCGGATCCGACACCCGTCGTCGTCTGGTACATCAACAATAAAACGGTACAGATACTTCTATAATCACATAAATTACGTCTATTTATTTACATATCGCTGTTATTGAATACCGCCAATGCACTACATGAGGTATAGCTGAGAGTAGTTATATTTTATATTAGACATAGGTATTAAACTAAAATAGAAATGATGTGTGCATATGTTTTTGTTTGGACGCATTTTCTAATATGCGATTTTTATATGCTCTTTTATATGTAAGAATTTATGAAAATTTCGAATATTTTTTTATGCGGTTTCTTTTATGCACAAAAATAGGTTTTACTGTACTTGATTTCTAGTTTTTATTTAAATACAATATAATTAAATGTACCTACTAACTCATGAAGTCACTAACGCGTGATATATATTATAAACTAGTTGGATGTATCTACTGTTAGATTTAAAAAGTATTGAAGCTAGAAAGAAAATGAAAAAAAAAAAAAAAATTAATCCAAACTAAAAAGTAGTATGTTTATTCATTTCAAAAATTATAATTTTAGTGCTAGTAAGTTTTTTATATAGTCTTTAGAAATGTTCCAACATATAAATGAATCTCACAAGGACATGAATAAAGCTTCTCTTTTTTGGTCGTGTTTATTGAAGTCTTTGAGTGAACTTTTTTTTTTATTTACTGAGAGCCTAATTGGTGCATGTTCACGAGAGGTTATCCTAGTTGCATTTCTTGAACTTTCTGAATGAACATATTGATTTTCTATCCAATCTTTTGCAACTGGTAAAAAAAGGTAATCTTATTTTCTTTGCTGGAATCTGTATCTTGTATAGCACAAATGAATTGAATGAAGCATAATTTAACATAAACAAAAAACTTTTTTTAGTCTTAGTCAATCTGAGTGAGGTATCTTTGCTTCGTCCAATGAAAGATTTTGTTTTGGTTTATAAACTATTATATAACTCTATTTTGACTTTCCTTTTCTGGCGTTTTATCAATAATAATAATAATTTATTGACTAGATTTTAATTATAAACAACAAAAAAGTACATCCTATACATCAATACATATAATAATAACAACCAAATAATAACAATTCTGAAGAAAAAAAAAATTCTAACACGAATTAACAAAAATAATCAACATTAAAATATTTAAATAAAAAAATGCTCCACTTCAGATATTGGTGTATCTTCCCATTATTAATGTTTTTACACTTTTAAATTTGTTGATATTTATCATATTAATTTTTTTCTGTTACCAATAATTAAAAAAAATCGTAGCAATAAAATTCATAAGATTTTAAATATTTTCTGAATTTCTAGAAAACACCTTAAACTAAACTTTTTCGTCGCCTTTAACACATCAAAATTTTCCTCCACTCCCCAAGTCAAAACATTAGTCTATCACAGGACGAATTATTATTATGTTAATAATAGTTTTTCTTCGATTTTCGAGGGCGCCCCTATGGCACAGTCAGGGCACCCCCGGGGCAAGTCGAAGTCACTTCTTCACTTTAAGAATTCATTTTTTGCCGCTAGTTCTTAAAAAGCTAATGAAAGAAATACGGTACACGTTTTTGTTCAAATTTTCTGTGAATTTTGTAAATAAAAAATGAAGTGTTACTTATCCATTTGTCTTTTCTCTTGAATTCGTGGCTCTACAGGATATAATACATTATAACTAATTTCAGTTTACATTTGTTTCAATTCACGTATCAGAAATTTAAATATGCCTTGTTAATAAATTCGCATCTTGTCCTAAAGCCTTCAAACTTTTTATTTCATTTGGAAGTCAAGAATAAGACTTAATTCTGTTTGTTTGACGAAACTTAGTATTTAACAATATTACCGTTTTATGTCAGAGACTGGTTTTCAAAAATTAAAAATTGTCGCTATGAACAAAAACATAAAAAATAACATTTTAAAAGCAAAGTTGCTCTTAATTTATATGATTTGTTTAGTAGATAATAAGCATAACAAAGACGTAGTTCACGTAAATATTGCGAAAGTTGGAAAATGCAAATGATCAAGTGGGCAGGAAATCGGAAACCGCTGCTGCTGAAAGAGTCTGCAGAGCGTGTGATCCGTGGCACACGTAAAATGAAATACTAATCCAGCTAATAGTGATAATAATAGCAAACAAAAAAGAACTTAACATAATGCAGGCTGAAAGCTTTTGTCAGAAGTTATGAAATGTACAATTAGCGGTGCCGGAAGCCGAGCCACTTTTCCGACCAGCATTTCGTTGCGCGAACAATACGAGCGGCCAAAAGGAAACCCACGGTCCTTTCTCCAAGTTATGATTATTACTGCAATTACTGCTGGGGGATGCAGATGAACATATACGCACTCGTGTAATTATAATATAATAAAATCGTTGGAGCAAGCACACCAGTTTCCACTTGTTTTTTCTTCTTTTCTTTGTTCTTTTTGAAATTGAAATTATGGTTGCAGCGTCAGCTTCAAATATATTACTATCTATCGCATTTTAACTGCAAATGTCATCTCTCTCTCTTTCCTTCTCTCTTTTTATATATCTATCTCTTTCCATTACAGAATCATGCGGCTGAAAAGTGCTGAAACGCTAGCTACCCGTGAATTACGAGGAGAGGCTTTAATTCCGCTCCATTTAAAACTAACTCGCACATATTTATTGTAGTAATAATATACATATATTTTTTTAGTTTTTGGCCACAATTTCCACAAAAATCCGTTTGAATTATTTAAATATGAAACAACGAAATAAATTCAAAGCGCTTCCGCTATGCAAATTGAATTCGATCGCATTTCCATTCTACATGATATCCTTATTATCATTGCCTTTGTTGCACATTAAACATTATTTACAACAAAAAAACAGCACAGAATATTAATGTATTCAGCGCACTAATCGTTAAAAAAAATATGTAAAATAAATATATGAAAAAGGCAGTTTACTTCATAACCGCTCTGACACTGTTAACTAACAAAATAAAATGTACAAATAATGTTCAGAATAATCAACGATTAATATAAAAAAGGGTAACAAACAACTATAACTACTAATTAGTACATAATATAGAGCGGTTAGATGATACAAATAATTCAATTGGTTTGTCAACTTTGTTTACAGAACTTTGGTACCAAGTTAAAACTATATTTTGAGTCAATTATTATTTATAAACATACAAATATATTGTATTTGTATCAAGAGTGATACTTTATCGATGTAATCAATTGGTTGAAAAATAACTGGTAGTAATATTTTCTTGTTTACTATATTTACAATTTATTATGTAAATTTATATGGAAATGTTTAAGTTTATTATGTTTATAGAGTTATAAAATATTAAAATTGAGGTCACTCTTGCTGCCACGACATTGAACTGTTTTACTTCGTTGCAATCTTCTTCATTTTTGGTCTCCATGAAAGTTCCTTCCGTGCGTGAGACCTAATGGTTTCAAGATTAAATTAAAACTTTTAAATAATAATCGGAGAATTTAAGTTTTAATAATTATTTTGCCCCGAGCGTGAGCAGAGGAAGTTTTCTAATGTTTAATATTAGCCACCCCATATTAAATAGCCTTAAATTCGCTTCTTTAATTACGCGAGTTCACATTTTTTTTCCCTGTCTCCCTCTCTTTCTTTTCTTGCATTTTTTTTTATTCTTATATCGTTGGCAGCGAAGAAAGGAGACGGAAATCTGATTAGAGCCGGATTACACCTGCGGTGAATAGCAGCTTCGCCTCGATCCTCTTTCTTTCTCTGTTTCTCACTAGTAAGCCGTCCTTAGATACCTTCGTTTCAGTTCCTCCTGCTCTCAGTGGAATATATCTCAATGTAGCTTTCTGAGAGATTTGTAAAAGTTGTACGTCTTTTAATTCCCGGCTTTAACATTTGTTTAGGATTACTTTAATTAAATTATACACACACAAATATATATAAATACACTGATGTAAAAAACATCTTATTTTGGAATATTAATGTCAACTTAATAAAAGGATGGATTCAAGTATTTGACTATTTAACTATAAGTTATTATCAATGAATTATTAAATACTTTTAAGAATAATAATTATTGAAATATATAATATTAACTTCAACCTAAATACAGTGGAACCTCGCTTAACGAGTTTATTCCGTTCCAAAATATTCGGATTTTTACTCGTATAATGAAATACTCGTATAGTGAAACATATTCAAAACTACACAATACACGCGATCCGGGACTTCTCTTCTCATCAGAACTCGTTATGCGAATCCTCGCTCGTTAAGCGAGTCATTTTTCTTACAATTCATTTTATTCGTTAAGCGAAATGCTCGTTATGCGAGGCTTCACTGTATATGAAAATATAGAACATGTATAAATTGTAATTTTTATCTAAACTATAAATGTTAAATGGTAGTCTTACAGTGAAATTATAGCAATAACAGTGAATCTGAAATTACAACTATAACATACATATGTAGTTATTAGCATTAGTGCTTTAATTATGCATCCACATTATGCTTGACATGATATATAAATGTCGTCATAAGCATTATATGCGTGGTTATATTTGATTATGCTTGTCCCATTTGTATTATCTTTATTTTTAGCCTGATTTTCGGTAGAACAACTTTAGGGTTAGTCGGTTTTTAAAACCCGGTTTTTTGTATAAATTTATATAATTAGAAAACCGTTTTTTTTTAACTAAAAAACCGGTTATTGAGCATAGACATACAATATCAAAAGGAATTAATTGTTTTAATTATATAATTAAAAACAAACATTTTGACACATAACCCTCTTTGCCATAAAACGGGAAACAGTGTAAACTAATATATTTTTTTAGAATTAAATCTAATAAAATATGTGATTAAGTTTTGGTAATTAGGAATTTCACGGTATGTGCGTGGGAAACATGTGTATTCTGTGGAACGCGCTACAATAAATGATACCGGTGGCAATCGAAATTCCGACAATTAAAATTCCGAAATTAGAAATCTCGATAACCATAATCCCGACAGTATCAAAATCCCGACAGTGGGACCATGGGATTTACGCTTGGTGGAAGTTTCTTTGTATTTATGTATGTGTTTATGCAATAAGACATATAGACTAAGATACTTCGTAAATACATAGATTTCTTTCTATTAACAAAAACAATTATAATAATAATGGTTAGACGCAACACTCATTTGTTATTTTCAAGTTATAACTTAAAAATGTTATTGTAGAAATTTTAATAATGAAAGATACTGTCGGTATTTTGATACAGTCGGGATTTTGATACAGTTAGGATATAGATTTTCAAATTTTCTTTTAAGTTAAATAAATAGAAAAAAGTTGAAAAATTATTTGTCTCCATTTGGTGTGTGAAAATTCGAAAAACGTTATTTTTTAAAGACGGGTTTTCTATAAACCCTGATACCAATACTATGGTATATACTCTTAATAAAAAACAACTGCACGTTAAAATAGTGCAGTAGAGTAGTTGTTACATCCGACAGACATTTATATTTCACGTGTGCACATTCAGTTATTTTTTATTATTGCATTTATTACTTGCACTAGGAATATTTTATGTCACTTAAATATTAGAACATTTTCTTTCTAAATTTACATTTTGTATTATTTTAATCAATTTTAATCTGTTTGCAGGACTTTCAATTGTACAATTTTCTTACGTTTGTTTTTGTACAATATCATATTTATATCTTTGTAATGTATTTGAATATGTAAATGAAATCCTAACTAAAAACATACATATAATAGAGAAAATACACGAAATAGTTCATTGGAAATTATTGTTAATATAGATAATAAATTACACTAAAATACACAAAATGCTAATAAAATGTTATACTCTTTTAAATAATCTGAAAATAGGAAACACTATATTGAAATTAATAAACAATAACAAAAAATAATTAAATAATCTAACCAAAGTCGGTAAATATTTCTAAATAATAACCATAATTTATTGGCCATACAAAGCAAAAATTTTAAAAATAAGAAAAAAAACAACTATAATAAACAAACTATTATAATAATAAACCAAATAAATGAAATGATAATAAACCAAGAACAAAAGAAATAAAATAACAATTCTTCAATAACTTAGAAGAAGAAAAAAAATGGAACAAAAATATAAATCAAATAAAAGATAATTTATAATATACTATACATAATATGACGAAAAGACTTATGCTCTTTTGTTTCAAAGGTTCAAATTTCTATTTTTTTTTTCTATGGATGTTACATAATATTTAAATTTTATCGAGTAGAATTTTATTTATTTATATTTTTATAATATTTAAATAACTCACTGTTATTTATATAAGATTCAACTTAACATTTCGTCAGTTGAGCCTTAAATTACAATCATGCACAGCAACTACTATTACTTATCATGTAATGTGAAACAAACATAACATTAAAGCGTTCAATTTTCATCATAACCAATTTAATTTCACATTGAAGAAAGTTGCGCTTACTATGCTTTATTTACATCCCCACTCGGCACATAATTGTACATTGTATGCTACATATATTGTAGTTATTATCTAACAATACGAGAATAAAATAAATGTTGGAGATGAATGTTTCAGGTATCGTCAGATTTCTTGGGTGAAGCGACGACCTCTGCTCAAGACAGGTATGGCTTATCATCACGAACCGCCAGCCTCCGGTTCGCATTGCATCGGAACCACACGGGCCATCTGGAGCTCCGCTGCGAGGTATTCCTGCCGTCGGTGCCGATGAGGCCGCAGACCATCACGAAAGTAATCCCGATAAAGACGCATTTGCCGCAGGTATATCCACTTTTTCTTTTTACGTCCGCAACCCTGAGCTGGAAGATTTCTTCTCCCTCTGAGGATTTCAGTGTGTACGTGCATGTGTTCATATGTGTATGTGTAAGAGCGAGAGTTATCTCCACAGATAAATTTTATCCATTAGGTGAACAACGAGAAACTCCATTGGCCGAATTCGTCGAGCTCGCCGCCACGGATGAGCCTTATCTTAATCTTATTGCTGGCCGGCTTCAGATGGCGTCAATCCTGTTAGGATTTACTTCAATTGCAAGCCTCAGCGAAATTGGACTCCTTCGCTGCCGGCCGCGCTATCTCAACGGCTGAGATCTGCAGATAAACCCGAACTAAATACAAAGAGTCGAACGATATAAAATCAGCAAACATCGGCCCCTAATTGCGTTCGCCCATCCAATGTGCGTGGAATTTATTATTTCTCAACGTCAAACCATTCGTTCGTGCATATTGGGCATATCTTCAGAATGAAATTAAACCATCTTATTCTGAAGATATCAGTTTTCTAGTTCAACCATTCGTGAGTAATAAAATACATATTTTTGTTATGAAAGATCACACATATTTTCTTTGGGTTTGTACATACTGACTATTCGTTACATACATTACTTGCGTTTAGGTAACTTTGGGCACCTTCGATAATATTACTTGAGAGATTAAAATGAACATATGTTAATAATAAGTAAACCTGCACTTTAATAGATCTTTGTGATATTTAGTTAAATAAATCGACGAATAAATTATTTAATATATGTATACGAAACATTGACATTTTATTTAACTTATCCCTCAAATCTGGAAGGTAAGTTTTCTATTTAATTTTATTGTTGTAATTATAAGTAAATAATTTTGTTAGTATAACTGGCTTTTATATATTTATATAGATAAAGAAAATCTGATTTTTATTACCAATTTTCCCGGGAAACGAGTCTTCTATATTTAAAGGATAACTTATTTATTTTTGATCAAATCAGTTATTCTAATTTCAACGTTCACAATTATTACATTGTTTTGCATTATTTATATTTGTTAATCATGGTTTTATATGTTTAAGTTTACGTATAAAAAAAACAACAACCTAGATTGGCTGCAATGACTGAATATTAACTAAATAAAAAGGTCAATGTGATTAATTTATCTCATAAACCGATAATTATTAATAGTTCATAAATATCTTCGGTAAATGTGAGGAAAAGAGTGAAAAAAAAAACGTTTTCAAAATGAAAAACTTTACAAACTAGATACTAAATACGGCATTTTAAATCGACTATATGCAAGAAATCAATTTAGTATTTGCAAAGAAACTTTTTTAGATTAATGAAGTTCTAAATAATGAAATAAGTTTGAGAGTACTTGCTCGGTTTAAATATAATTTAGGTGATCAAGGAATTCAATATTGCAATTGTACAGTTATAACCGCCTGTACAATTTCATTCAAATCGTTGAAAATGTAAAAAGTAAAAAATCATTTATAATTTGAAATGCTATAAAAGTTCTTCCTGTAAAATTAAATAAATTACATATAACTTTCTTTTTATTTTGTGCTAATTTATAAAATTCTAATTTTTTATATTATAGTTTTGATAATAAAAAATATTTTGTCAAAATTTATACTATACTTCTACACAAAAACAAATAAATTATGCATAATCACTTTAACAAATGTAGTATAAATTTGTTTATAAGTAGTAGAATATAATACAAACAATTTTTTTTATTAAATGTTCCATGTAATTATTAACAATTGATAGTAATTAAGTTAACTTGTGGGTCGCTATCTTTAGGGTTATACTAAGAGTATGTTGAATTCATTTTCAATTTTATAGTTAATGTACATTGTATATAGTATATCATAATATTTTTATTTAGAGTAAGCGAAAAATTACCGTGTAAAAAGTATAGATCAATTATTAACACATAAGGAAACGTCAATAACACATGTCATTATATTGGCATTAACACATGCTGGGACCACGTACTATCAGCAGGCTCCGACAATAGATATGTATTGTTACAATACATATAATTAATATTAAATATAAACTCACCTAACAAAAAGGGACCCAAAAGGAAAGGAACCCAAAAATTTAATTTTAAATTTTAAGAAAAATATAAATGTATTAATTCATATTGCAGCTATACGCAATTCGACGTATATATTCTATTATATTTTGCCTATCGTATTTTCTTTTCCATAGTTCTTTATCGTAACATTTACATTTATTTATATAATTACTATCTGTACTGATTATACTTGTACACATTGTAATCATGTATTTAGAAATCGGTTAAAATCTAACCACCTAAAGCAAATAGTTTTATAATTGTAGTTGCTATTCGTTTTTTTTTTAAAGAAATTTACATAAATTTACACAAAAATCGGTGTTTATCAACTGAAACCCAGGTTTTTGAGCCTACTTAAAATATAAAAAATAATTATTTATTTATTGAAAACAAACATTTTGGTTCAAAAACTACGCTTGTTCAGACTCGATTAATGGAGCTTTGACCAATAGAGTTTGAGCAATGATATATAGATATTTTTTCCTTTTTAAAATCTTATTTTCTAAGAAAAAAAATATGAAATAAATTAATATTTCATAGTAATTTAGATAAATGAATAACATAGTTATTATAAGTACAGTTTTCTATAGAGTAAATTTTATTTTGTTATAGTTTTATTTAATATTATAGAAGATTTTAAGTTTTGTTTTGTGAGATTTTATTTTGTAATATTTTATTAATTAGTATAAAGTTAAATTAAAAGAAAATAAAATCCCTTGCCTTTAATTAACCGGTTCTTGTATAAACTCTAGTTCGAATGCAACTATGCTACCTAGATTCGATTTAGAACATATAACTAACACATCTTTTGTAGACATGACAATGGATTGATCGATATCGTCTCGACATTCATCGATAGAAGTTAATTCGAGTATCATATATATTCTATATTATAGCTTCTATATTGTAGAAGTTAGTATTACCATAGCAACAATAAAGATAATAAAACAATTTTGTCGGCCACAAGGAAGCGCGGAGATTAGGAATTTCGATTTTACGTCTCGGAACGTGGGATATGGATTAGGAGCTGGAATTATTGTTTATTTTAGGTGCAGTTGTATGTAATATCTGCGGGGTGGTTTTCGATGTGTCTGTTGACCGGGAGAGGGTGGTAGGGTCCCTAGCAGTTAGTTGATGGATGTTTGTAGTATGAACACGTGCTGGGGTTAAACCGATTTAGCGTGAGTCCCGGATATTAAGCTCCCCCAGGATAAACGGGCCTCGGACCAAACCAGTCCGGACGAACGAGAAAAAAATGAAAATAAATAAATGAAAACGGGACCCGGCGATCCTCACGAGCCGCCCAAACATGCGAACCAACAAAAAAGTATAATCAACGAAAATAAAACAAGAGATTATATGCTTTTTTAGTCTTTTTTTCTATCTCTGTGTATCTTTTTCTATCTCTCGGTTTCTTTCACTCTAATGCAAACTCCTCCAACCACTACCTCTTACCATTCACCGTGGCGTCCTTTATGCATTATATTTAAATTTTTTGCTCGTCGTACGGAATCTAATATTTAGCGTTTAATCTGCCCTACATGATGTATTGGCTTAATATAAAATACACAAAGTGCCTTCTGACGAAGGAAATTTAATATGATTCGGAAAGGGGCCTGCTGAAAATTTATATTAGTTTCATTGTGTGATCAATCAAAAAGATTATTAATAGCGTAAAAGGGCAGAGAATTCCCTACCGAATTACATACACGCTGCAATAATTAATTACTGTTTAAATGAAGCGATTTTTGCTTGTTAGCATTTCCCAATTACAAACAGCTGCATCATTTCAGCGCACGTTCGATTGTTGCAACGGGCAACCGTTTTTTTTTTTTTGCTGTTTCCGTGCAATTCCCATTATTAATACTCGCGAAACACGGAAAATGTGTTAATTCCATGCAAATTAGTTAGAAATCAGTCAAATTATTTGCACTCAACGTTTCATTTGTTTATAAACATTTGATCCGGCGCGTCCACCATAATTGATTAATTTGATTTACATATGCTAATAGAAATTTGTTTAAAATAAACACGAAATATTTCTATTTCCGTGCATAATAATTACATACGTTACAATCATTTCATTTTACTGATTTTTAAGCAGAAGAAATATGAAAAAGATATATGTGAAGATTATTGTGAAGAATTCGAAGCCCGAACCAATTTTAAGTATTATGTCTCAAACAGAAACAATTAAAGGAAATTTTAATAGAGAAATTAGCTTGGGTTTGTGGATGTGCTCATTTTGGCCATGCATTTTGTTTCCTCGGGAACAAAATGCGTGCATGCAATGCATGTATTCTGATCTAAACAACCTCAGTAAGAGACACGTATGAGACACGTATGCTTTCAATCTTATATATACTCTACTGTACAATTCAAAAATGGAAAGGGTATAGATTTTTTTAGTGCGCAATTTAAAGAAAATATTACAATGCACAAGGAATTTACTGCAAATCGATACTCGAAATTAATAAACGCTATTTTTTTGACAAATCAAGAACTACCTAGGACTTTTTGAGCATAATGAATAGCGGAAATTATGTAGAATTTCTATATGTAGTCAGTGAATTTTTTGTAAAACATCCCCTGGTTGAAAAGTCACCACACGATACTGGTGTATACGGCATATTAAATTAATTTAATATACAATTTATCTAAACGATAAAACTAATATTATTGTCTAAATTAATAATTATATACATATATATAATTAAATAACTAAAAACAGAAAAAACTTATTGGAGAAAAATGTAAAAAAAAACTTTTTTCAATAACAAATTGATGCAATTTATTATTATTTACAAATTTTTATTAGCCCTAATTTCAGCCCTAATCATTTAAATTAAATAAATTCATGTTTTTAATAATTATTTTAAGCGTATTAATAAACTTATCGAAATTGATTACTAAATAAATTAGATATATTGGTTTAATATTGGTTAACACGACAATTTTTTTAGAGGCCATGGAAACACATTTTTATGTTTTTATATTAGAAAATAGCGTAAATAGGATGCGAAGGGGTAGTTGTATTTAAGTTCTATTAACGCAATAGAAAACTAAGTAATACAGAAATAAATCAAATACAATATAACCTGATAAAATGCCCTTAGCTTAACACTTTGTTATAAATTATTTCTAAGATGAGACATGAATTTGATGATGTTTGAGCTAATCAAAAATTATTAATAAGAGAAATCTACATATTTTCTGGATATTTCTTTAGATTAGTTATTAATTAGTTATTAATAAAAAATTGCCGAAATTTAACTTTAACTTTTGTGAGGGAAAAGAAAACGCACAAAAAAAAATATTAGAAAATTTCATAAATTTTTAGATGCAACAAATAACTTTGTATAATTTATATTCAAAATGCACATACACAATTTAATTCATTAATATAAAACGCCCATATTCTTGTGTTGATTGGTTTAAAATCGACTAACAGAATCGTTTGAGCAGATTATGCTAGAAAACATTGGTATATTGCACAAAATAAATCGCATAAAAAAGGAAATCACAAAAACAGATTTAACAACTTAAGCTATCAACTAGTTGTTAGTCAGGATATTCTCTGAAGATATTCAAAAAGTTGACTTCAATACCAGAATTAATTACGTTTATCCCCAGTGCACTCACCACATCCCCTGTGGCATTCAT